ATATCGCTGGAGATATTAAAGGGCGAAGACAGCTTGCCGTAAGCCTTAACTCTGTCTGAGCTACGCAAGTATAATGCTTGGATAATATTTACATATTTCTCGGGCACGCCTTTCCTGAGTAGACAATTCCAAAGTGCACGTCTATCCACCGACTCGAAGGCACCTTTGATATCGAGGAACACGACTACGGTGGACCGCCAATAGGTGACGGTGCTCCAACAACTGACGCAAGGTGAAGATGTGGTCAATGCAGCCACGACCTCGACGAAACCCGGCTTGCTCTTCACGAATATGGCTTTCTCAAGTGGCAATCAGTCTGTGAAGGATGACAGAGGCAAGCAATTTGGAGGCGATGGAGATCAGACTGATTCCTCTATGGTTGCCGCATTCCGATCATGATCCTCCCTTGAAAATTAAGACTATGACGGAGTGGCTCTAGTCGGTTGGGACAGTTTCCTGCTCCCAAAGTTGCACTATTAACTTGTATAAATCATTCATAAGAGCAGGTCCCAGAATTTGAAGAGGGCTGGAGGAAAGTCATCAGGTCCCACGGCTTTATTTAACTTCAACAGTCCGATCTCATGTTCAACTTCTGAGCGAGAGGGTGGATCCAAAGGAACAGCCCACGGAGCGGGATGATCAGTGGCTGGCGAGAAATCTAACAATTAAATTGCCTTTCAAAGTGCTCAGCCCAACGCTGCAAGCGTTTGGACAAATAGTGAATAGTCTGCCCACGCTAGTCACGTATAGTTTCACTAACACCATGTCTTCTGCTTCCCGATTTCTATATCAGCCGAAATAACTTACGATGGTTACCAAGGGCAGCGGCCACTTCCATCTCTGATTCACGATGAGACTACCAAGATTCGCGGTCTCTCTTCAGTCTAGCACGGAGTTTTGCCCGGGGCTCTTTGCGAGTTTTGTTATGTTCGATTCCAGCCGGAATATGCCGGTGAGCATCGATAAGTTCCAGAGACTGCGAAGTGACCCAATGTCCATGTTGGCGATTAGACTTACCACATGAGGATTCTCCTGCTGCTAGTAAGGAGTGATGAATATAAAACCAGTTGGCTTCAATTGCATCCAGTGATCGTTTATCCAACTCGCAGGGCAGCGTACTTCGACAGGCATTCGGAACAGCTGGCTTCGCAAGTTGGCTGGTGTCAATGCGATCACAGCGTCGACGTGGGTGTCCGCCAAAACGCATCCGCAGGTCAGCACATACAAATGCATGGTCGGTGTTCACACATGTGCTCCAAATCGAGCGGCAGTTCTGGACGCAGCCTCTCCATCGGTAAGTTATCGCAATGTGACCGATTTGCGTCCAAGGCTGGTGGGCGCCAAGTCACCCTGCGGCGGGTGCTGTGTCGGAAGTTAGTGCTCGTAATAAATAGGCCAGCATCTTCACACAAATGAAGTAACCGCTCACCGTTATCATTACGTGAGCCTACACCATGTTGGCCACCCAGATGCAGTTCATTAGTGGATAATTTTTCAACTTGAGTATTCAGATCCCCAGCCAGCACAACAGGGTCCGAGCTTCTTCTGCGGCGAAGGAGCTCATTGAATTGAAGTTGTCTTTTAGAAGAAGTTGTCTTTTACCGAATCATCGCTAGAGTTTGTGGGGGCATAGGCAGCGATGACTAATAGACACCCAGTAGTCCCGCGCGACTTGGAAGCTTTGAACGAGCCAGCCAATCGGACGGCACACATCCGGCTACTGATTGGAATCCAGTCAACCATAGCAGATTCAGCCCGGGGACTCAGGGCGATACTAACACCAGCTTGACCGGTGCTCAGAGCTGAGTCGTCACCGGATAGGCGCAACGAGATAGTGCTGCCTGTGTCACCTGAAGGAGATCGCAAATTGAGCACAGAGCTCGAATCTTGCAGGCGGGTCTCCGATACGCAGCAGATATCGATGGAGAGGGTCTCTAATGTTCTGGCATATGCTGCCTGTTGACTGATCTGTAGCAATGTGCGTACATTGAGGCATGCCAACCTGAAGGAGAATCGAGGGCTCCAAATGGAAGTCGATGAACTGGGCTTGGCAGCTTGGTTGGACATAGGCTTGTCTACAGGACAGGAATCAGGATCCGCGTTCACGTATGAGTTGAAACTAGAAGGTAAAAGCTTAGGAAAGCAAGGTGAGGGATGGCCAAGAATTGAGGGGTTAAAAACAGGGGGATAAAAGTGAAGCTGGAACGGGACGGTAAGAGTGAAAAAGCGTAAGAAGGGGAATAAGAAGATGGAAAGGTTTGCGCAGTAGCATCCAAACCCCTATCCACCCTGTTAGATGCAGCAGAGAGGGCACCGTTGATTATCCTCTGCAACGACCAGAGCATCAGGGAATTTGTCTGAAGAGAAATTCATTGTATTGCGTGGGCAGGATACTGTCAGGTTGCCCAGGCCTAGATAGGAGAACGATTAGGGTTCTCAACCAAAGCATTTTGTTCAAAAAACCGACCGTAAGGCAGCGGGTTTGGTGTTGGGCTACAAGGAGTCAGTTTTAAGAAATAAGGAACCACCTCCTTCCAACCCCAACCTGGAGGACCAGGAGGCTGAGTTTGTCTGGCCTCTAACCATTGACCAATTTGGTATGAGTTCCTCTGAAGGTGCAAAAAAGGCACCACCCAGCATAGCTCAAGGTATCGCTGAGGCACACAAACAATCGCACCACGGTAAGGTCCAGCCTCATTGCGAACAGACTACATCGTAACTGACTGCGCATGATTTTGGCGCTTAAACGTAACTTCAGCACATGGTCTGAAGTGGTTGACACTCGCCTCTTCGCTTCCAACATAAGATCAATGCTAGAGTTTGGTTCGCTCGCAAACTTTGCGATTACCCAAGGCGAGGCACAAAAGGTCGAATGGGTCTAACACGTTACCAGGCTTATCCCAAGTTTACGTGGCTTGCGGCATGAAGACCGGTGCGAGAGACTAGGAATCTACACCTTGTCCTACCTTCGGACTCGAGTCGACTTCATTATGACCTACCGTAGGTGACTTCCCCATGCTGTGGCCAATGATGCACCTGCGAGCGTCATGCAGCCCATGCTGATACCGATACAAACTTGTGATGCCGGAAGTGAAGCGAGTTCTTCATGCACCTTGCTTCCAGCGAAGATTGGTAAATATTTGGAACAGTCTGCCTGAACAAGTGATGGAGGCCACATCTTTGCAGCAGTTCAAATCGTTGTTGGTTTTATATTTTACCAAAATTCGATTCGGAGAACGATTTCACGCTTACGATGACATCTCACATTTGTGAGTCCAGCAATACCGTGAGTCAGATATTTTAAATGCCCCATTAGAACGATAACGATGTTCAGGGTTGACAATTTTATTACTTTTCATTATTACTTTATTGCTTATTCTTATTATTACTTATTACTTTTTCACCATATTTCGTAGGGGTTGGACAGGATCCATTGCTACTTGCTGCACAATATAGTATTTCGTATTCGTCCACTTTACTTCGCCCGTTAGTGCGCTGCCTCCACTAATTTTTCCTCCCTTGTTGTTTCTACTTTTGAGTAACTACTTTGGTAAGCTTCATCGTGTGATCTTAGGCACCGCTGATGGGCGGTAGATATTGGATAGCTGCTAAGTCTAAATATGTTTTTCTCAAAGATCTTATCTCCCACATCAATCTAACTTTAAGCAATAGCGATTGATGGTCTTCCTTACGCAACGCCAAGCTGTCTATCTGCAGCGACCTGGGGGTTTTCACGTACGCTTTTCTCATGTTGTATAAGGTATTCCAAAATTACAGTTACATTTTGTACCCACGAAAAATGGCAGTTTGTTTGTAGCGTAGTTAATACCATTTTCGCACCCACACACCCACATTCGGAACGTGACACGAAAGTTGTCTCCGACGCTCCCAGAACTTTCGTTTTCCATTTCCGTATCTAGCTTTTCTTGGGTACTTGTCAACTTAGCAAGGTTTTATGTTTCGGTACTAAACGTACATCTCGCCTACTTTTATTTCCCTTTTTACTGATTTCAAAAGTTTGGCTGATTATATGAGCATAGCTTTTAACTATCGGTTGTGACATTTATCATTGTATGCATTCGTTTCAAACCTGCCTAGGTTCGAAGGTACTTTTTGCGTAGTAATGGTATCGTAGGTTACATTAGTATTTTCCCATAGCACCTCGCAGTCATGCACTTCGGGAAGTGTGTGCACTCGGTGAGATGTCTTCATTGGAAACCTGGACCGGGGACGGTGGTGGACGCCTATCGGATTATTTTTAGCACAAACGACAATATATTTAAGAAATTAGCAACAAAGGAAGTCACTTGATGGGCCAACGTGACTAGGAGTTTTACATTGTCCGAATCTGTGTGGTGGTTCGTAAGAGTAAGTAATTTTGACCCCTAAAATCGACCGTGATATATTCCTTTCTTCGAAGCATCCAGAATGGCTGACCTCGACGGAACTGTTGACAAAATTCCTACCCGTCCCTTGATACTACCTCCATCGCCGGTCCCTGGAGTAAGCCAGTGTTTAGCAATGGTAAGAGTTAAACTCCTGGCGTCCTTCTGTGACCGAGCCGCCGGGTACGCCGGTCGCCATCTTGTGTTATTCTTATCTGCATACTTGTTAACACTTTGCCCTGAATTATTCTTATATTGCGCCACCTAAGTTTCCTGGCACTATGTACAAATATACTTCATAGCTAGTACCTGTTTTATGACTACTGTGACATATCGCAAGTCACTACCGTTAATAGTTGCGAGTATGAACAACTGGATCAACCAGTAACCACCATTTCATGCATGCATTCGCTCCATATTTTGAAGGATAATAAATCGAAATAAAAGTGGAAACATCAGTCTCTAACTTGCCGAAGCGCCTCGTATCCCCGGTGATGCTCTTGATGTTAACGACAGGGGTTATCCCTCCGTTTACCTTCTAGTTTCAGTGATAAATCACGGTCACTTCCTCTGTCTGTCTTTCTTAGCGTCTCATCTTGTTTCCATTTTACAAAGGACTATCGGGTCAAGGTGAGATCAATTTCCGTTCAGATGCTCATCGAACTTTTCGCCGACACGGTCTCTCAGCAGTTGGAGTCGATTCCCGAGTATATGCAAAAGTATGAGTGGTCCATGGCTCGAGTCGTTGATCTTGAAACCAAACACTGGTTGAGCTTCACCATCACACCCATTCAAAGAGGTGCTGCACGTCGGCTCCTTGCCTGGATAGTGGGGCGAATTATTAATCTGACGAAACGACCCCTGCTAAATCGCCTCGACTGGTTATTACGACGAGCTTTGAACAATGCACTGAGTACTCTTCACCTGCCTGTACTCTTCGCGCATCCACAACAAACTGGATTACGTGGTGATGTTGTGGTGCAGAAACCCAGATATTCTTTGGACAAACGTGTGACACCTGAACCACGAAAAACACTTGCTATTCCACTTGGTTGATGCACGATATCGCAACGGCTTGGTTTGTATCTAGTATGTCCGTGCTACCTTATGAATGCTTCCACAATGTCATGTACATAGAAAAGACGTGTGTACACAAGCCGCTGTCCATTATTAAGGCAAACCAACTGAAAACTCCACCTGTGTCGCAAGGAATTGTGTCACTTATATCTACCTCCGTCCGATGAAAGCAAGTGCGAAAAAAACTTGTATTTCACGGGCACAAATCTTCACGTTTTTTTCGACAATATTCCATCTAGTACCTATGTGAGTGCGAGGACTCATTCACACGCTTTACACGTGAGCAGGTACCAGAGTTAGCAACAATTCAATGCACGTTGCGGTTGCAATTCTTGAGATCGGATCTACGAGAACGTCGGCCCGCCTGTAACCGTCAATGTCGTATCGTCCAAATCAAACGAACGGTAGCTAGTTGTCGATGGAAGGTGAGTAGATCTAAAAACGCAATCGGAACCCTAGCCGACGGCTTCTCAGAATAATAGGTATGAGTACACGTGAGTTGTCCGAACTGAGTACTGATGCGGCTTGTACGCTGGCAGGTTTCATGGTACCCGCATTTAACCCCACACTTGACAATTTTCAGTAGCGTTTGACCAGCTGTTGATAGTGGGTGAGTTTTACGTGCAGTTGTAACCCAGGCTAAGGAAGGAGCGACAAATATTTTGACCGTATTCTTTTTATACCGTTAAATTCGGTAACGTCATTTATGCATAGATTACAATCACTGACCTTCAACAATTGTGATGGGGGTATCCAATAGGAGGTTATGGAATGTATCACCTTGGGGAGCAGGTAATCAAGAAGAAACGAACCGAACAGCATCTGGTATTGGTCGCAAGGGGAACAGTCACCACTTGAACGGCTGCATCGAGTAGCATGGTTTGGATAGGCTGCAACCAGTTCTCTGGCTATTCGTTTTAAATCACTTGCCAGATCGTTGATACCTACCATGATGTCGTCGTTGTTACTGGACACCGCGTACATATATATATATATATATATATATATATATATATTGGAGCACCTTTAACAACGTCTCTACTGATTTACCTGTACAGCTTTAACCATTTGTCCCAAACGAAACAAACTTTGTGACTCACCTCTACCTCCAGGCCGCAATGACTTATGTCGATCAATCACGTGTGTTGTCTAACTGATTATTAGTCAAAAACACCAACCTCAACTGATCTTTACTGCTCGATTTGGTGCACCCAGCTTGGCGTGGTTTCCCACTGCTTCCATCGAATAGACCATCCATCTGACGTGACAGATTCGAGCGAGTCCGTAATCGAAATTTCTTTTGGTAACTGTCATGCAGCGAATCGTAGCCAATCAGTTTGTTGCTTTCTGGTAGGCACCAGTATTCTTCACACTAGCACCAAAAAATACATCGGCATTCTCCTACCCTCTAGTTTTGCTTCCACTGCACTACCGCTTCCTGATAATGCCACGCCTTCTATCTGGATTTTATCCGTCAGTCTAATTGCTCTACACGCCCTAACCTTTTAACAGATCATTCATTCCTAGCGGAGCCGTTACCCGATATCACTGTACCTAGCACACCACGTGTGGCAAGGGCTTTCCTTAGAGTGTCTATAGCGATTGTACTACTGATTCGTATTGTTGAACTACACGCAAACCCTGAGGGATACACATCAGTCGATGTAAATTCTGTACCATGAACCGTTGGACCATTTCCTCTTGGACACACACACATGCAGTAACTTGTGTTGGTCTCATTCATCCTCGACTCACAAATGTGCGTGTTTACTTCACAGTTGACACCGGACCACCAGCTGTAATTTCTTGTGATCGTTCAAGCTATCGCGACCTGTCGTGGTTTGTGTGACGTTCCGTCAGCTATCTGGCAACCTCAAGGCATATGACCATTCCACGAACTCGTTCCATCCGTGAGAAATGAAAATGCATCTTACTTTTTTCGCAATGTAAAATATACATACACATGAGAGAAACACGACAACTGCTTCAATGGATCATCGGATGCCAAAGCCAAAAGTAACATGAAAAAGACCACAAGGCTGAGCGAAAAAATCTAGAGTGGGTTCGTATTAGGGAAAGCAGAGAAAGAAGACACAGATAATGACCATTAATTTAAATAAGAAAAAACAGTTAAGTAAAGTACTGTAACTTTGTAATAAAAGAACGTCCCCATATTTTCGTCTGGTTTGAGTACAGGGGCTAGCGGTACAGCGTTCACAGATTGTTGAACCCGTACGGGGCGGTACTGTAGCGGTTCCATTTATTACTCGAATTATGCGCATACATGGTAAGATAGGGTTCTGGCCTCTAACAATATTGGCATACTTGTATTCATCGTGTGGATTCTGGCGCCAGAATTTAGCTTGCCTAACTGCTGTTCGTTGCATACTTCTGGGTTTTGCTGTAGGCTCTACTCTACGGTGTCCCCCGTTACGGACTGGATTGCATTTAGTAACTGTGGGGATTATTTCATCCAATTCCGCCCCAGTAAAATGCTGGCACATGAGGCGCAACATGAAGTGTCAGCTTGACTTTGAACTCGCACATGACATTTTCTCAGTTGGTCGATTATCTCCCTGGTCTAAGTCCTAAAAACTATTGTTTGGTTTCAGAGTACGTAACAATGAAAGTGCGATTTTACCGATCGAGCTTACTACTGAAGCGGTGTTTAGTTCAAATGAAACAAGTTAACCATAAACATGATGCCTGATTATATACGGAGATATTCTGGACATAGTTAACTAGCTTGCAAGTACATAATTCGCAAAGTTTAAGTGCGAATCGCTAACCGCATCTTTGTTCCGCGACTTAATCGAAGCATGTGATGGTGGGTGACGGCATCCAAAAACCAACTCGCCAACTTCACCGCACTTCGTACATTGTATACAAAGGTGAGGGCACTGGTTTGGGCAAATGTTTGGAACATCGTATGGATAGCATCCGAACATGTGTATCGCATTTTCAAAGCAAAAAGGTAGTCACTTGTTCATACTTTCGGAAAGTAAACAAGGTTGGACGTGGCCATTGGTGTTTGCAGGTGTCTTCGTTGACGGACGAGGTTGCAAGCTTTTTTCCATGGTAATTCTTCCCCGTATGAAGGTAGTTTTCCCTCGAAGCATAGTCTACACATTTTCTCAGTTAATCGCATCCATAACGCTTTCAAACTCAGCCTTAAGGAAATAGGTTTCGTCCATACCTCTTTCAGAATCCTCTTTAAGGCAACCAAATGTCATCGACCTGGCGCGAACGCACCAAAGCGCGCTCCCCGTTGAGTAACCAATCCCAAATCAACCAATAGCATATCAGACTAGTATATAAAATGAGTTATCAGAGAAGGTTTGGGTGTGGCGCAGGTCGGGTGTGATTTGGTAGGTGCCTAGTCGCGCTCGACACTCGTATTCAGGCATGATTGGCTACACTGAATCTACGCTCGCAAAACTCACGTGGTGCCATTTGAGCTTAACAGACACGAGTGGTTATGGTGTTTGGCACGTAACCTTTCAGGCACTTCGAATTCTGTGTGAAATATGATTGCGTGATGTGTGCCCATTTCATCGCCGATCTTTCCGTATACTACGAGGCACCCACGTGAATGCGCGCGAATGAATAGGCCCTTGGGAATAATGACATTAAGTCGCTCACAAAGACCGGTGTCCATGATCGGTTGGCATGGAAGTTGGACTAGTGACACCGGAGGGACGTGGAGATTATGTGGACCGCGGTGGGTTTTGGGGCGCCGCATGCTTACTGAGCGCAATGTTAAAAGGTCCGAGTTTGATGGATGTAGCGATTCGAATCAGGATGAGTGCGCACGCAGTGCACATTGGAATCCTCACCGAGGTTTTACTCGTCTATTGCCTTTGTTATGCCGTTGTTCGACTGAGCTTGCTCCTGGGGAATATTTCCTGCTGTTGCGACATTGTCCCCATTGCGGTTGCTAAGACATGTAAGCGCCTGAGTGGTTCCTCTAACCGTTCTCACACATGATTTGTATTGTTTCGGAACAGACCGAATGTGATGTTTCAACAGGGGCAACGCACACAAACAGAAAAAAGAATTCCGCAACACTCGGGGCAGGTATACTATTCTGCCAGTTTCAAGGAATGATCTCAGTTAGGTGTTATTGCTAAACAGCAGTAAATAGCAGCGCACCTGATTTGGTTGACTCAGAACAAGGTAATCACTAGCAGATTGTCAGATAATCAACAATACCCATGTTTCCGCCTCTTTTCATATGGCATATTAGGCGTTCCCATGACATACTTGGAAACCCGACGTTGAGTCTGCTCCAGTTCAGTGAGATCGTGCTTCAGTTTCGGTTGCCCTGCTTGTATCGCTTGTTCTACGTGGTGGTTCCCAGCTTGTAATGCCATTTCCGTTTGCTTAGAACAACCCGTCATCCCGAACCAGTGACGTAGGTCACGTTCGACTATAGAGTACTGTAGGGTCTGCGTTTCTAACCTATAGATGTAGAAGCTGTGGTTTCGTACGGTTGGTGGCATCCGCTTTCGGATTTGCCTATCACTGTGGCAAGCCACAGGACGCCTGCGCCTACAGAGGGACCAATGGTGGCTTGCGCTGCACCACGCACAGCTCCATCCACATACCCCATATCCAGTGTAAACTCAAAGGAATAAGATGGCAAGGCATGTGGATGGGAGCCACGTTTCATCAACGGAGCCGACCCACACTCCCTCACAGGCAAACTCAGGTGCGCTGTATTTGGGAAACAATCGCACACAAGGCGGTGGCTGGACCGTAGTCCGCTCCACTCTGAGTGCATGGAACCACTCTTTGATTCTAACACGGCCACAAGGATCGTGCACCCAGTCCCATCCAGCAAAGACCAATTGTCTCCTAGAGTCAGTATGGTCGAGGTAGTGGGTAATAGACAGGTAGGCACCTTGTCAACATGCACATCAAGCGCAGCCACACCGGGGATATCAAGCAACAGCCAATCAGTTGAGTGAAAGATAACAAATGTGGTATCGTATGCAGAGTATCTTATTCGCGGATAGTCACCATACCTACGAGAATTGAATCCTTCAATTGCGCAGCTTTCGGACGGGTTGGGAACTTTTTGAGAAATAAGCGCTATTAGCATCAATAAATCGTAGTATGCCACGAAATTGGAAACTGATCTCGTAAGTGTAGGTTGATACGACACAATACAACAGCAACATAGCGGAGAACCGAATCCCATCGCGA